CCCCCCCCCCCCCTCTTCGTTCTGTGTTTCCTGATTGCTGCCCTTGGTCTCTTTCACTGAGGTTCATGAAGTCCTGTTATCAACACCGATGATAATCATCGCAATCGGTTCACATGTGCTTCGCGCCTATCAACCCTTCTTAATTTTTGTTGTTTGGACCAACCCTTATTGCGCCTCCTCTTGAAAGTGAGTACGAGTGATCTCATCGCCATGCAAGCTGCGTAGAAGGGGGGCGGGGCGGTAAGGGGGTGTTCTCACCCACGCCTACGACAGCAGCATTGGCTTCAATTGGGATACCAACTTTAGTCTGAGGGAGCTCCGACTTGACCGTATATACGACGCCGGGAACTTGTCCTTTCATGATCTTGCTTCCCTTGTCTTCCACCACACAACGAACCCTTCATGACTGTATCAAGATGAGAGGGTACGTGAGATTCGGGTGAAGACGGTGCCGATCCAATGTGCTGCTCTTCACCTCTCGCTACCGATGATAATGATCGTCGCCATGCGCTTCTCGTTCTCAGCATATGGGCCTTGTTTCACCAATCGCCATCCGCCAATATTTTGAATGCATCTGTGCATCGGTACTGTCCGGATGGGGAGTGGTGCAACTAGGCCCTGTTACACAGGGCCTTGCCAATCACGATGTTTTTGCCGTTGCTTCTTTCTGTGTTTGTTTCGCGCGACTGCGCCCTCCCCTCCTCCTCCCCTCACGCCACCCCGGCCCCCCGCCCCCCTTCCCGCCCTTTCCCCCCTTTCCGCCTCCCTAACCTAACTGTATTCATCTGATTCGTGCAGGATCTGAACTCTCGGTTTTAGCTGTCTTTCTCACTATTCTTCTTGATGTGTGAGTTTCGTTTGTTTTTTGTTTCCCGTTCTCACTACCTTGTTTCCGGAAGAGAACTTCCTATTATTATGATTGTATTTGGCCGGGATAGAGGCTGTATACTTTCATTCATTCATAATGATGATAGGGAGTGATGATCGGGGGCAATAAGGCACAGTCTTGATGTCCCTGGTTTGGTCATGGTTGTTGTTTACCGAGAGTCGAAGGCAATATACGTTGTCCCAGCGCAAACAGCGGTTAGCAGTGGCGTTATCATTTGAATAGAACAAAAAAAAAAGGAGAACAAGGAAACGTGACAATGTATCGCATATTTCTTTTGGCATCGTCCGACCCCGTGCTCACTTCCACTCTCTTCTCGCAATCGTTTCAACACTTGCGCATGTTGTAGTCAATTAATCACTAGTAATACCGTCTTCACCCGAATAGTACGCGCAGTCATTATCGCTGTATCTAGTCTAGAAGTTGCCCCAAATCCAGCTATTTGACCGGGCGTAGTATTCGGGTGAAGATGGTAGTGTACTCAGGTACCCGTGGAGTGTACTTACTGTAGTGTCTCCGGCTGCTTATAATCTGCCGCTGTAATGTTTTCGGGCTGTTTGTGGAGAATTCCCGGGCTCTGTTTTCAGTTTTATGATGCAAATTTTTCTGATCGTTCAAAAAAAAATACAAAATTATTGTGGAGCTCGTGTCAACCCGGGGACTGTACGCGCGCATCTGACAACGAAAGAACGGCTTGGGTGGCTGAGGTAGAGATTTCCCCAGGATGTATCGGACCGCAATTCCGGCCAGATACTCAAACTAGAGGCTTACCCAGGGTCCATCTGATCGCGATTCCGGGCCGTGCTGGATGTATCTGACCGCAATTATGTCCGCAGGTGAGTAGTAGTCTAGAGCGTGTGTACTAAGTCTGGTTGAGGGAAGTCACTTACTGAATTCGGACGGTGCCTAGGATCAGCCGAGGGTTCTGTTTGTCTGCACACAGGAGGGGGGCTATAAGCTCGCATCGGACGAATGAAGAAGGGATGGGAACGGAAAAGGTCGGGAATGGGGGACAAAAGCGCTAATGAGGCCATACTCACGCGAGGACTTGTTTCCGTGTATCTGACTGCATTTACGGCCTGTTCTGTCTGCGTCTGGCCTCAATCATATCCATAGATAAGTTGGAAGTGTCCTTGTATCAGTATGCCCTGACTGTTGTGGCTTGTATGTGAGATGCTTGCTCTCTTCCGTACTGAAATCCTTCTCCTTCCGATGATTAGCGAGGAGCGAAATTTCCGCATCACTCTCAGGGCACACTCACTACTCGCACCGGGACCTTCTTCGCTGAATGACGCAGCCAGAAAGTCCACAATGTGTGTGTGATGCCCTCACTTTGCTAGGACGTAAAGTCAACCACAGATTTTGAATGCACACATTTGGGTTTGGATAAGCAATTGATGAGTTAGAAGAATGATAATAATAATTACAATTAATCAAGAAGGGGTGAGAAAAGAGGGTTTATTTAGCATAATAATTAGTGGATTAGATTAGTGGGGTTTGGCAGACACTCGTATCATTTCTTGCCGTCGGCTTCCGCGTCGTCTATCCTGTTGTCAAGAGGAATGCCATGGCCATCTTTCGTCGTTCCTTTTTTTGGGGAAATTGTTGAAATATCCTTAAAAGTTTGCGTATCTCATTAGATACCCCTAAAACACAGGGGTATGCTGAAATGCTCCAAACTTCTGCATCGGTCCTCTACCCGCTCATGGTAACTTTGCCATATGCCCTGGCCCTGGGCTGCAGGGCCCCCTGCATTTCATGTAGACAAGTTGCCCAGGGGCCGGTAGGGGTATTTGACGAAATACCCCAACTTTCAGGGGCGTTTCAACAATTTTCCATTTTGCCCCCTTTGTAATCTCTTGGTCCGATGGACCATGGATCGGATATGAATTTGATCAGAACAGATACTACACTTGATGCTATAGGGCAAAAAGAGCTGAGGAAAAAGGAGTTCCGAGAAAGGTATAGCATTTCGTCCTTCAGTTGGTCGCACAGCTCTTTCAGCAGTTGTATAGCACACGTGGTCTTCTGTTATGTTTGCTAAACGGAAACATTGGTATGGGCGTCACTCCGCTACTCACGAAATGTGCAGAATGAGAATGAATGTTCCGCTAGAACATGGGAAAGTACACAGCCATATTTTTTTCCTTTTCTGCATTTCGTGAGTAGGGGAGCGAGGGCCTATGTCAGCTATTCCAGCAGTTCTGTTGCGCACACGTACCCTTCTGTGATGCGCCGAATGCAAACACAAGCCAAACGTAAGCAAATCATGCCAGACATCGGTTCGCTTGATTAATGTCGTCTTCCCGCTAGCCGAGCGTGTGCATGCTGTGTCCCGGTAGATGAAGCCCATCACCTCGTTCATTGTAGTCCATCATGATCCATTCGTTATGCCGTCTGTTACCAGCGCCCTTTGGAGTCCCTCATGACGGTCCGCTCTGTTGAGGAAGTAATTTCCCATGCAGGGAGCTGGTGGTAAAGCTTCATCAAGGCTACAAATGGCTGGTGGCGGATCAAGAGCAGATGTTTTGACCTCCGGAGTTTTTCTGAAAAGGCCGTTCTCATAGCAGATAGAGACCCCTTCCCCCCCCCCCCCTCTCCCCTTCTTTTAATCCTTATCCCCTCCCCTCCCGTTCTATTTACAGATAGAGACTCCTCTATTCGTTTCCACGAATGATGATTTGGATCCATCGTTACCCTACTTGCTCGGCAAGTTGACCAAGTTGCCTGATTTTCTTAAACCACCATTACCTCCGATCCTGTTTTTGCCGAGCCTGGGTCCCAATGTATTTTCTTTTCTGCTGTTTTTATTGAACCTGAATTTCACTGCGGACCGAGTTTTCCTGAGCCTCGGTCGAATTGTATTTTCTTTTCAGGTCCTCACGGCAGTTGCAATCAGCCTCGCTTTCATTCACACTTTACATGCATGCAAACAGTAGTGCAGCAAACTGGCGACATGCGCCCACTCAGTACTCAGAGATATGGCAACCAGATACGACTTCACTTCCAATGGCTATGGCGATATAGCGCCCATACAACTCTCTGTTCGCATACAGTGGATCACCCTGGATGTCCCACACGCGTCTCTCTGAACACACACACACACACACACACACACTGAACACTAACTACAGCTATGGCTGCTATGGCCGCCTCTACCCTATCGCTATGGCTAAGCTTTGTCTCTCAGCCCACTTCGTCTTCGGGCTCACTGCAGACCTCCTTGCACAAGTCGCTGTGGCAGCGCTTCCGCATGGCTCACGCAGGAATGAATGAATGGCTGGGCGCTGCCTCTTGATTTATACTTCGGCAGCTTGTTGGTCTGGCCCTTTCCCATGCCCGAAATGCACACAGTCCCATGCGGTACTTGCTGGACTGGACCAGGACTGACTGGGGACTGGGACTGCTGACTCAGCACGGTTAGACTCCACCACTTGACCACTTGCCTGACCACTTGCCCACTTGCCTCAGTCTAAACGTGGGCAGCTTCGAAAGGCCACTATTGGGACCTTCCGGAATGCCGTAGACTTGGCCTTTCGTGGCTGTAGGAGCTACGACTCTGACCTTTCAAGAAAGCTACAGCTACGACTTCTAGACCTGACTAAGACTCCTACTCGACAGGTCTACAGATCGAACCCCTGCGACCTCAGGACCCTACGACAGTCTACCACTGTTAAAAATACACTGGTCACGGGTTCAACTCTAGGGGCCGACACAGATACTATACACAGGGAAGGTAGGGACTAGGGATCGAGCCCTGGGATCTGCGCGCTACTGCGAATTGGTGAATACCGTTTCACTCCTGCCGGCTTAAATTCGAGGTTCTCCGAGAATAACTCAGTCCAAGGCATTTCCTATCTCTCGCATAGGCTCTAACTATATCGGGAGCTGTTTCTAGAAGTTCTGTTCTTGTGAACCAGCCGTCGTCTTCCGGCCCCTGATAAGCAAACCGGACTTTATATTGTTTCTGTGGACGACCTCTACCTCATGTTCTGAACACATCTTCACCTACAATGCCGTCAATGTCATTCTTCTGTCCCTGTCTGGAGGGATCATGGACCGTCTAGAGGGAAACTGTTGACTGGTGACACACGGCAGCAACTTTGATGTGTGAAACACAGGGTAGGTGTGGAGGTGTGCTGGGATCTCGATGGTGTAGGACCGACCATCCTCTCCGCCCTTAACTTCTAGAACCGGCCACGATCCTCTATACGCGGGCAGTAACTATTGCGAGATGCTCTCCTCAGGTGCAAACTCTTTAGACTTGACCCAGACCAGGTTGCCTACTTGAAACTGCGATGGGCGACGATGCTTATTAGCCTGTTCTATCATACGGTGCCGGACCTTCCTGAGGTTTTCAACAACAGTGGCTATCTCTTTCTCATGCTGTATCGCGAACTCCCTGGTACCGGGCGGTAGCCTATGAATCTGATCCCGGTTCAGTCCTTCAAACGAATGGTCGACTCGGTCTAAAGGACTTGTGCAACTCGTTGGGAGTGCGACAGGTGGACAAATGTAGACTGTTATGGTATGCACTGGCTACCTTGGGTAACATCTCGTCCCAGTTGATCTGACCGGGTCTAATATACATGCGCAGAACTTGCTGCAGGATCTTGTTCATCTGCTCTGTCTGACTGTTGGTCTCTGGATGGCGGCCAGCCGACATCAACAATTTAGATCCATAGACTTGCATCAGCTCCTGCCAGTTCTGGCTAGTGAAACGACTATCTCTATCACTGACTATTGACAACGGGACTCCATGTTGACTAACCCAAAAATCAAAGAACTTCTATATCACTAACTCTGTGCGTGCCTCTGCAGGCAAAGGAACAAAAATAGCAATCTTGCTAAACCTATCAACTACGACCATGACTTGGCTCTTGTCGTGTCTACTCTTGACACCGGCATCCATGAAGTCCATGGAGACTGAATCTCCCGGCTGATCTGGAATGGGCAAGGGTCTGAGAAGACCTAGGGGCCATGCGTAGTGGTCTTGTTCCTCTGACAAACTTTACAACTGCGGACATATTCTATGCAGTCGCGCTTCATTCCTGGCCATGTGTACGCGTGCATCAGGTTGGCTAAAGTCTTTTGCTAACCGAAGTGTCCCTCTGTATCATGGCATTCCCCTAGGATTAGACTACGGATCTCCTCACTGTTGGGAATGCACGGGCGGTCTACTACATTAGTCTTCTCGAATAACAAACCCTCTGTAGTGCGGTAATGTGGCTTAGTCTTTGGGGCC